TGGTGGCTCACAACCATCTCTAACTCCAGTTCCAGAGGATCCAATACCCTCCTAGTCTCCATGAGCATTGCACACATGTGGTCACAAATATATATGCAAATAACATAAAAATAAATAAATTTAAACAATCTGGTTTCAACCTCAGGACCCACATGTCAGAAGGAGAGAATTGACCCCAGCAAGTTGTCCTCTAACCTTCACATGTGCACAGAGACATGTAGTAACGCCCCCCAACACACACACAAATAAATAAATGTAATTTTAAAAGGATGTAATCTATAGCAGGCGTGGTAGCTCACACCTGTAATCCCAGCAACCAAGAGGCAGAGGCAGGAGAATTGCTGCAACTTTGAGGCCAGCCTGCTCTACACAGTGAGTTCTAGCCCAGCGCTACAATGCAAGACCCTATCTCAAAAACAGAAAAAAAAAAAAATCTCTGAGCTGTGTTTATACGCACATACTTTTTTTAAAAAAATAGTCTCTTTGGGGCTGGAGAGATGGCTCAGTGGTTAAGAGTGCTGGCTGCTCTCGTAGAGGACCCAGGTTCGAGTCCCACGACCCACATGTTGGCTCACAACCATCTGTAACTCCAGTTCTAGGGGAATCTGACACCCTCTTCTGACCTCTGAGGGCACTGCACGACACAGGTGCACTTACATACATGCAAGCAATACACTCATAAACATAAAATAAAAATTAAAAAATAGTCTCTTGAATTGTGCTGATATTTCCAATGTAAATACAGACAGCCCAGGCTTTCCTAGGCTCCTCAACATATAGCCAGTGGCCAGTTTCAGGGTTTCTTTCTTCAGAGACTGGCCGAAGCTAGGTGCCCAGCAGTCTTCTAACACAAGCTGCTGGGCAAGCCGCCCTTTGGTGACCTTTCTGCCCTGGAGTCAAATGATCAAAGCTAACAGACATTTTGAGTCACAGTGTGCCAGATCTCTGTGAGTGCCATTGCATGGAAGCTCCCAAGGAGCCCTTACACCAGGAGTATTTCCCTACTTGACACGTAGGGAAATGAATCTTTTCAAATGGGTTATTCTAAGCCTCTTACTTCTGAATACCCAAGACAGAAAAGAACACAGATGTTCAAATCCCTGCTCAACTACTTAGTTGTTGTTGTTTTTAATAATCATAGACAATTTCTTGTCCCTCTCTGGTCTGAGCCTGTTCTCCAACCTGGGAAGTTAGAATCAAGCTACCTATATCACCTCTAACGCAAAGTAAAATTTAGGACTGTGATGTCATACGGACTTGAGTTCAAATCCAACTCTTAGGCCCTTAGGTAAGTGAGTCCTCTGTCTAAACTTGGATGTCCTGTAAAGAAGACTTCCTTTGCTCCTGGTCACAGGATTACTCTAAGGCATAGCTGAGATAATAGAGCCAAGTGTATACAGCTGCTCAGCAAGCAGAAATTCTTTGTGGTCACTGCTATTTATCTGAGACCCTTTCTCCAACTCTGAACTAACTTGGTTCTCTAAACTCTATTACTAGGAAGAACAAACACTAACCATCCAGACAAGTTCATCTCCTACTGTCCACATGTAGAACTGCAGTCTGGGCTCCTAATGCCACCAGTGGGCCCTGGGTCAGGGTTGAACACCTAGGACAGAAGTTAAAACCTTTGCTGTAGACCTGCTACTTATTAAACACCTACTACCTGCCTAATTTAAGGGAAGATTTGTCTCTTATGACCTCATGTAATGAGCTCTTTGCCCATAAGGGTTGTGTTAGTTACTTTCTGTTGCTGTGATAAAATGCTCTGACAAAAACATAAGAAGGGTTTGTTTTGGCACAGTCAATGCACAGTCCACCATGGTGAGGAAGTCAAGGCAGCAGGAGTTGGAAGTAGCTGGTCACATCGAATCCACAATCAGGAAGGGGGGTGGAGAGAGAGAGAGAGAGAGAGAGAGAGAGAGAGAGAGAGAGAGAGAGAGAGAGAGAGAGAGAGAATGCTGCTGCTCAGCTCCCTTTCTCCACATACACCACATACACAGTCCAGGATCCCAGCCAGGGAATGGCACTACCCACAGTGGGTGGCTCTTTCCACCTCAATTAAGGAAAGGAAAGCATGACAATTCCACACAGGTATGCCAGAGGCCAATATTCCAGGTTGTTCTAGATTCTGTAAGGTTGACAATTAACACTAGCCAGTACAAGGACCTAGATGGGAATTTGAATGACTTGGCCAAGGTTACACGGTTTGGATTAAGGTTACCAGGTTTTGGTGGGCTGAATCATGCCCCACCCTCTGAGATAGCCTCATCCTAAATTCTGGAATTTGTATCTTTCTTTATAGGATAAAAGGATTGTTGCAGACATGACTAAGCATCTTGAGATAGGGAGATTATTCTGAGTAATTTGAGTAGGCCCAATGTAATTGCAGGAGTCCTTGTAAGCAGGAAGCAGGAAGCTGGGTGTGGTGGCACAAACCTGTAATCTCACTCAAGAGACTAAGGCCGGGAAACTGCAAGTTCAAGACCAACCTGGGTAAGTTAGGGGCATGCTGTCTCAATTTTTAAAAAAGGACTGATGAACCAGGCATGAGTATGCACATTTGTAACCCCAGAATTTCCAGAGGATTGTGAATTTGAGGCCAGTTTAGGCTACACAGTAAGTTCCAGGGCAGGCTGGGCTGTGAGACATTGTCTCAAAAACAAACGGGCTGGGGAGATGGCTCAGTGGTTAAGAGCACCACTGCTCTTGCTAAGGACTCAGGTTTGGTTCCCAGCATCCTCATGGCAGCTAACAACCATTTGTAACTCCAGTTTTAGGGGACCCAATGACCTCTTCTGACCTCCGTGGGCATTACACGACACAGGTACACTTACATACATGCAGGCAATACACTCCTACACATTAAAATAATAAATGAAATAATCCATCTAGCTCTGCTCCCCAGGTGCTGGGATTAAAGGCATGAACTAATGAACTATTATACGTAGCTGGTACTAGTGCTTTTGTTTATTGATTTTTATTTATGGGTATGAGTGTGTTGTCTACATGTATGTAAGTGTACCTGTGTCTACAATGCCCAAGAAGGCTAGAAGAGAAAATTGGATCCTTTGGAACTGGAGTTACAGATGGTCCTCTGCATGAGCAGCCAGTGCTCTTAACCACTGAGCCATCTCTCCAGTTACTACTACTACTAACTCTGTAACCTTGAATGTTACATAAGCCATACTTACTTTTTTTTTTTTTTTTGAGACAATCACTATGTAGCCACAGCTGGCCTGGAACTCACTATGTAGACCAGGCTGGCCTCAATGTTACAGAGATCCACCTGCCTCTGCTGGGATTAAAGGTATGTACCACCACACTCTTAAAAATAGATTTTTGCTTATCTGAAATTCAAATTAAATGAGAATTCTTTATTTTATTTAGCAACCCAAAAGTGGTGGATCTAGAATTGCAGGTCTTGTGACTTGGAGCCTGGCATGGTGCCACACACATATAATCCCAGCTTTCAGGAGGACAAAGGCAGAAGGATCATGAATTGGGGGCCAGCCTGGTCTACACAGCAACACTCTATCTTTAAAAAAAAAAAATTAGCCAGGCGTGGTGGGGCATGCCTTTAATCCCAGCACTTGGGAGGCAGAGGCAGGTGGATCTCTGTGAGTTCAAGGCTAGCCTGGTCTACATAGTGAGTTCCAGGACAGCTGGGGCTACAGGGAGACCCTGTCTCAAAAAGACCCCCCCAAAAAATTTATTTTTATTCTATGTGTATGAATGTTTTGCCTATTTGTAAGTGCAGCACATTTGTTCAATGTCCACGGAGGCCAGAAGAAAGCATTGGAACTGGAGTTAAGGATAGTTGTCAGCTGTCATATGGATGCTGGGAACAGACATGGGTCCTCTGCGAGAGCAGCCAGTGCTCTTAACTGCTGAGCCATCCTTCCAGTCCCAAGACACCTTTTAAAAACAGAGAAACACAACTCAAGACTCTTGGACCATCTCCACGCTCCTTCCACACATGCAATCTGGCAAGCAAGGTCCACCATGCCCTGTTGGTCCTGCTGGTCATGCCCCACGGTCCTAGAACTCCTCTTATCCATGAGGTGGTGAAAGAAAGAGCTTACAAGGTCATCCCTTTGGGTTTGAAGTTCTCTTGGACCACCAGAATGTCTCTCTGGAAATGATTTATTATTAACCTAAGAGATTCGTGTCTAAATTGCACCCCCACCAGCTGCACTAAATACGGGCATGTGTGTGGTGAGGGAGGGGGTAGTTTATGTGCCAGGCATGGAGCTAGTAAATCCTTTTGCAAACCGCTACTGTATGGAGAGAACTTCATGAACCCCAAAGCAGGACACAAGTAGTGTCCGAGTCGGGGTCCAGAGCAAGATTCATGTGGTAGTGAAGAAACTGAAGCTAGAGGAAACCGGGACTTGCCCAAGGTCTCTCCGGGGATAGCATACGGATGCCCTGAGCAGCCAGTCCAGATGGCAGCTGAGGGAGATCTGGAAGGCTGATCCTGAGGTTCAGGTATAAAGCCCTTCCCCTGTCATGAAGTAGGAGACTTGAAGATTTAAAATTAGTTAGAACACCAGGCTGCTTGCTTCTCTGGGCTTCAGTTTCCCCATCTCTACACTGGGATGCGCATTGCCGGCCGCCAGGTGGCGACAGAACCTAGCCCACGGCTCAATGCTCGCGCATGCGCACTCTGGGCGGCGCCCCGCCTCTCCGCGCCCTAACGTCACTTCCGGCTCGAGAGGCCGGACCGGCCGGCTGGGGAGTGCGGGTCGCTTCTGTGAGCTGCCAGCCGAGGCTCCCGCCGCCGTGACCCGCGCTCCGCCCGCCGCCGGGCCGGTGAGTGCCCGCGGACCCATGCGTGCGCCCTGGGGGCCGGTGCCAGGGATCCGAGAGGGAGAGATAACCGGAAGTGGGCCAGAGGCGCGGGAGACCCCAGGAAATGGGGACCCCTGGGGAGAGGGCGAAGGCCGGAAGTAGGGGGCCTCGGAAGGGAGTCAGCAGGATGGGGGGGGGGAGTCCCAGGGTCCAGGAGAGATGGCCTTCTGACCTCCCGATGAGGAGGAAAGGGGGGCATGCTCCACAGAATGAAGGGCACTAGGTGGGGAGGATTCCGGGCTTTGCATCCTGTCCCTATGGCCACCGGGCAGCTCGTTCATCCGACACTGACAGGCTCTGCTGGGGCTCTGGGGACCCAACAGGAAGCCCCAGGTGGAGGGTGGAGAGGGCGAGGCTTGACACTTCCTCGCTCTGCCTCACTAGATGTGTACCCACGGTGACGGCACTTGTCAAATTTCCCCTGATGTTTCCGGACGGCTGCCATGACCCAGCTCTGGGGTTTTGGTGACATGCAGACCAGGTCTGTGCCCTGGTAGAATTCATATTCTAGAGGGAGATTTCTCCTTTGTAAAACGACAACAGTGATGCGCTCACTAATATAAAGGTTAAATGTGGGTTGAAGGTGTAGCTCAGTGGTAGAGTGCTTGCCTAGCTTGTGCAAGACCCTCGGTCCCATCTCCAGCATCACACGACAAAATGAGAAAACAGATGTACAGGCATAGCACACAACTGGATTCATAGTAAAAAGGCTCATCCTTACACTGTGATGTGAGCCGAATAAGGCAAGGAGTTATATTTACTGTTCTGTCCCTGCACCCATGAGCACTGTGTCCGACGCGGGAGGAGGCCAGTAATTATTTGATACATAGACAGGGAAAGTGACTCTGAAGGTTTTCATGTGTTTACCTGTAATGCTGAACTGAAGTTTCTAAAAGACAAATAGGAATCCAGTGCTGTGGAAAACTGGAGGGCCACCCCTGGGGAAGTCAGAGTGGCTCCACAGTGGAGGTGACATAAAGTTGGGCCTTGAAGATGATGAGCTGTCTGGTTGGCAACAAACACAGAGGAGATTCCAGGAGAGGGTATTAGATGTGTGAGGTAGTCCAAGAAGGGTGAGTCATTAGTTTGTCTTCCCTGGCCGGGGAGAGGTGGGAGGAGAGACCCTAGCAAGGCTTTGAGGCCAGTGCTGTAGCCGGTGGGCACTAGTCAGTCTCAGGTAAACAATGGATTGGGATTCCAGGCATCTGTCCGTGACTGCTATGGAAACAGCCCAGGGTGGGTCTGGTGAGGTCAGGATTGTTGGTCCATTTCTTGCTTACATACCTCTGGCCAGGTACATTAAAATCATTCAGCAAATGTTTATGGCGTGCAGGCTATGTGTCTTGATACCATGTCAGGAACTAATTTAGGTTAATGAACAAGACCTAGATATCACTCACTGATTGCCTACAGTGACAAGAATGCTAGTCCAGAGAGTTCCTGCAGGCTAGCTTAGCCAGCCTGGAGTAGATGAAGGCTGCTTCCTGTCAACATCCTCTCTCACCCAGATTATTGCTGAAGCTATATCATCTCATCACTTCCTTAGAGTTTTTGAGCCGAGGTCTCACTATGTAGCCCTATCTGGCTTGGAAATCTCTACATAGATCTGGCTGATCTTGAACTCACAGAGATCTACCTACCTTTGTTTCCTGAGTGCTGGAATCAAAGGGATCAAAGATGGGCCCCACCACACCAGGCTCTTTAGATAATTTTTCCCCCTTGGATCTGGAGAGATGCCTCTGGTTAAGAATACTTACTACGCCTGCAGAGGACCTGGGGTCATAGTTTACAACCACCTTTAAGTCCAGTTCCAGGGGATCTGACACCCTCTTCTGGCCTCCTTGGGATCCTGCATGTGCATGTGCATGGTACATTTACATATACTCAGGCACACACAGACACACAAACACACACACACACACACAAATGGATAGTTTTTCTTTTGTTACTTTCAGTGATGTGTGTGGGAACACATGCCACAGCACATGTGTAGAGGTCAGAGGATGATTTGTGGAGTTGGTGCTCTACTTCCACATTTGCCTGAGTTCGGGGCATTGAACTTACGTAGCCAAGCTAGCTGAGTGAAGTGCCTTTACCAGTGAGCCGTCTGTCAGCCCCTAGTCCATTTTTTTTTTACTTTATATTTTTTAACTTTTTTATTGTATTTTTATTTTATGTATATGAGTGTTACGCCTACATTATATACATGCATCCATGTTGTGCAGTGCCTGTGGAGGCCAGAAGAGGCCGTCGGATCCCCTGGATCTGGAGTTAGAGACAGTTGTTAGCCACCACATGAGTGCTGGGATATGAACCCTAGTCCTCTGTAAGAGCAGCCAGTGCTCTTAACCACTGAGCCACCCACCCAAGTACAGTCCTGAAACAATAGAGTGATCCTTTTAAAACAGAAATCAAATCATGCCCTACTACTAAAACCCTCTGTACCCCCTTCACTCAGCATAAAAGTTAAAAGTTCCTACTGACCTTCAGGGCCACTGGCTCCCAGTAAGCCTCTGAATTCATATAGTACTTCTGCCACCTTGGCTCTGACTACTCTGGGTGCCTTGCTCTTGCTCAGAAAAGCCAGGCATTGGTCCAGCACCCTTCTCCCCATCACCATGTGTTTAGCTTGCTGTGTCTCAGCTTTGCTCATATGGCACCTAGGTGAGCCTTCCCTATTTAAAACTGCAACCCCTCCCCCGTCCCTGTCTTTGATTGCCACAATAGTAGACTATTCCACACTGTGTTTAGGAACTGTCTCCCATCTTCACTGGGATATGAGTTAATGTAGGCATGATTCTTATTTTATGTGTTACCAGTGTTTTACCTGCATTTATCTAACTGCACTCATGTGTGTAATGCCTGTGAGGCCAGAAGAGGGTGTTGGATCCCATGTAACTGGAATTACAGATGGTTGTTAGCTGCTATATGGGTGCTGGGAACTGAACCCTCTGGAGGAGCAGCTGGTGCTGAGCCATCTCTCCATTCCCAGACAGGATTCTTTATTCACTTCTGCATCCCCAGTACCTGGAAAAGAACCTGGGTACGTTGTAAGTGCTCTATACATGTTGAATGACTGTAGCACTTAATCAGGACTTGGGGTAAATCAGTGAGGATCAGGAGGAGCCAGAGGAAAAGCATCTGGTGGGAGTAACTAGGATGTGTACAGGATGAGGACATACCTTTAGAAGGAAGTGAAAGAAGTTGGTGGGGCTAGAGATTGGAATACAACAGATGGCTTGGGCAGACCTAAGATTTGGAGGGAGTGACCTGCCTGGCTGCTGACTGCAGTGGATCAGAGGGAATCTAGCTAGGTGCAACCAGGACAGGTATGTGCAAGGACTCAGATGGTCCCTGCTTTTGAAGTCAAACATGGGACAGAAGGTCAGTGTCAGCTCGTGGACAGAAGCCTGGGCTTTGGAGCCAGGCAGACCAGGCTAGCTTATTCCCAGGATATCTCAGTTCTCTTTTTATTCAATAGTGTGTTAGTGTGGGTTTTCCCAAAACCAGGCTCTAGGATCAAGAGATTAGACAGGCAATACATGCAGTTTATTGGAGTGCCTACCTAGATAAAGGGAAGGAAGAGCCTTTGGTAAATGATGCAGGTCTGGTCCCCGAGAGGGAGTGTCTAAGGACAGTACTGGTCCAGGAAGGATTCGGGCAGATCAACAGAGGCCTTGAGCCAGTGTTGCCTTTTGGAGGCACCCACATCTCTGTTGATTGGTGATAGGGAGGTTTGTGCGAAGTGTGGCATTGATTGGATGGTGCCTCTCAGGGGACAACAGCTAGGGCCTACCTCAGTCACATTTTCTCAGCAGCAGATCTGACCAGGACATTTCCATTACAATGTTATGTTACATGGTAAGTTTTTACATGGTTGAAAAAAAAAAATCAAACAAGCTAGGCACAGTGGCAGACACCTGTGATTGAAACATTTGAGGCTAAAGCAGGAGGATTGCAAATTCCAGGCCAGCCTGAGCTCTATGGTGAAATTCTGTCTCCAAAAACAAAACAAAATCCCAGAATGGTAAAAATCTCTTCTCAAATGTCCAGTTGTCCAGATCTTTCTTAGAGGTAACCATTGGTAAATGTGGCTTACATCTCCTCCCAAACAAATGTGATTGTTTTCTGCATGCTCTTCTGAAACCTGTTTTTTCCCCCCTTCATATGTCGTCAGTTCATGAAGATCTACTCTGTGTGTGTGTGTGTGTGTGTGTGTGTACACACACCTGTCGATCAACGTTGGGTGTCTTCTTTGATCACTCTCCCACTTTTTAAATGACATTTATTTGGGGAAGGGGGTATTTCTGTGCCGCAGTGTGCATGTGGAATTCAGAAGACAACTTGTGGAAGTCAGTTCCTTTCTTCTACTGCGTGAGTTCCAGATATCAGACTCAGGTTGTAGCTTGGTGACAAGTGCCTTTACCCATTGAGCCATTTCACTGGCCTTGCATCTTATTTTTTGAGGCAGGGCCTCTCACTGAACCTAGAGCTCACTGATTTGGCTGGACTGACTGGCCAGTAAACTCGAGATTCCCTGGCTCTGTCCCACTCCAACCCTCTAGTGCTGAGGCTACAGGCATGCAGTTGTGCCTAGCTTTTACATGGCTACTGGGGATTTGAACTCAGGTCCTTGCTGCTGCATAGCAGACATTTTGCTGGCTGAGCCATTCCTCCAGTCTGGTTTTGAATTTTAATACTGATCAGCTGTTCTCTGGAGAGACTGTCAATTTATATCCTCACTAGTATTTGAGAGAAACCTTTAAAAAAATTTTTCTTTGAATCTCAAAGTCGTTTTAATTCACACTTGTCTAATGATAGTAAAGTGGAGCCTCCATTTAGACCCTTCCAAAGAAGACATGGTGTTTGGTAAGGAGCGTGTATATTAGGCTACAAGCTGCCTCTGTGCCTTTGTGGAGATGCTGTCATTCTGGGGTTTGACCTGGGCATGTGGCTCAGGTGGAGTTAATTCCTCTTTGGTACCCACCACCCTGAGATTACCTGGTTCTGACAAAACTGTCCCAGTCTCCCACATCCTGTTTCTAGGGTTTGATGTGAGCAGTGTTGCACCTTTTATATATATTAAAAAAAATCATTTATTTACTTTTATTCTGTGCGGTGTGTGTGCATATGTCCAGGTGTGCATGTGGAGGTCAGAGGACAACTGGAATCGCTTCTCTCCTACCTTTATGTGGTCCCATGGATTGGAGTCAGGTCGTTAGGCTTGAGTGGCAAGTGTTTACCTGTTGCGCCATCTCACCAGCCCATGCTGACCTCCTTAACCTCACTTGTGGCCTGTGTGTCAGCAGGGACTCTGGTAGCTAATGTCAGAAGAAAGCGACTCTCTGAGAACCAGCCCCTCTGCGGCCTCGCTCTCTGAAAATGAGCTGCCACTGCCTCCACCTGAGCCCCCCAGCTACGTGTGCTCACTGACTGAAGACCTGGTCACCAAAGCCAGGGAAGAGCTGCAGGAGAAGCCGGAGTGGCGGCTCCGAGATGTGCAGGCCCTTCGAGACATGGTACGGAAGGAGTACCCCCACCTGAGCACCGCCCTGGACGACGCCTTCCTGCTGCGATTCCTGCGAGCCCGCAAGTTTGACTATGACCGAGCCCTGCAGCTGCTGGTCAACTACCACAGCTGCAGGCGAAGCTGGCCCGAGGTCTTCAGTAACCTCAGGCCCTCAGCCCTGAAAGATGTTCTCAGTTCTGGATTCCTCACGGTGCTGCCTCACACGGACCCCAGGGGCTGCCATGTGCTCTGCATCCGCCCAGGTATTTCCCTAGCTGCTGGGGGGCATGTGTGGCCTCTCCGGGATGGGTCTATCCGTAGCTGTCTTCTCTCTAGTCCCTCATTTCCTTGTTTTAGTGAGGTCTCTTTTTTTTGTTTGTTTGGTTTGGTTTTCATTTTTTGAGACAGGGTATCATGTAGCCTACCTTGGTCTCAAACTTACTATGTTGCTGAGGATGACCTTGTACTCCTGATCCTCCCGCCTCTACCTCCTAAGTGCTAGGCTTATAGGTGTATACCACCACACCTAGCCTCAAGGCTCTTATGGGGGAGACCTCAGACTAGCTGAAGAGGAAAAGGAGGAATTGGCAGGAATAGCCGCCAGACCCAGAGCTGAAGATGCTGCCACCTTGAACTTAGAACACAAGGCTAACAAACCAAGACGGCGCTCTTCCTGTCTCTGCCACGGCCAGTCTGCGTGTCCTCGGGGCCACACATTTCTGCTTGTGCTTGGCATATCTTCTTCACACGTTTCCCCCCATAGGGTAGCAAAGCTAAATCTGGCCTCTCTTAATACCCAGGCTCACTGGACACCCAGTGAACCCCTGTACCCTACCTCCCAGTCCAAATTAGGATTTTCAGAGGAGAGAATACAGTGGGCTGAGGAATCTGTTCTTGGTTGTGGGATACAGGCATGACTGCCAAGCCTATCCCAGCACCACCTCTGAGTGGGCTGAGTACAGATATAAGCTAGAGAGTGTGGGCTGGGCAGAGGCTGGAAAGATGCCTACTCTGTGCCTCCCTCCCTCCCTCCCTCCCTCCTTCCTTTCCTCTGCTCTATTAACCCTGTTAGGATTCACTGAGTTTTTTTTACAGTGCTAGGAATGGAAGCCAGGCCCTTGCACATGCTAGACAGGAGTTCTGTTACTGAGCTGCATTCAGAGCCCCTAGACCATTTGTTGGTACTAATACTTCGCAGTAGTGATTCGGATAGCTACATTTCTTCTTTTAAAATTCTTTTTTTTTTTTTCGGTCCTTTTGAGACAGGGTCTCCCTGTAATTCCAGCTGGTGTGGAACTCACTATGTAGACCAGGCTGGCTTCAATCTCACAGAGATCCACCTGCCAGACTCCTCAGTGCTGGAATTAAAGGTGTGCATCTTTAATAAGAATAGTTTATTGAGTATCCTAAAGGGCATTGAGCTAAGAAAAAACTGGGATGTCACCTGTCCTAAAGTATATCTCTTGAGTAGAAGCAGAGGTAGATAAGCATGTTCACCTGTTTATACTACTGTCTAGTCATCTGGTAACTTTACTGTTCAAACTACAGAATAGGTGACAGGTTAGGGCTCAGGAAAGATAAAACAAAAAACATTTTTCTGCCCTGTTGGTTCTTCTCGGATCTTTAGCGCAGTAGTCTACTGCAAGGGAATCTCCCTGTGGAGAGCATGTTAAAAGGTGACCCAAAGGCCAAACGTGTTAGCCAGTAAGCGGAGGGTGCGGGAACTCCAGCCTCCTGATTCCCTTCCTGGCCACCAAACGCAGGCAAGGGAGGAGCCTTCTCTCCACCCACAGCCTCAACAGCTTCCTTTAGACCAGAGCTCAGAAAAGAACTGGACGTCAGATTTCAGCATGCTTCCCAAGCAAGCCAGGAAGTAAGCAGATGCTGGCAGCCCCCTTCCCATGTGCAGCTCTTGAATGGATGTCTAACATGCCTACATGCAGCCCTTGAAGGCACGTCTTACAGAACGCACACCTCCGTCTTCTCCCTGAGTTTCCTTTTAGCCTTTCACCAGACCCTCTTTTCAGACTAGACCATTCTCTTCACCCTACACTGTGTACAAGGCAAGGCTGTAGCAGCGTTACCTGCTGTGCTGGGCACTTTCCAAAATTAGTTGTTTATTTTAAAATAAGCAGTGCAGATTTCAGGGTACCAAGAGACCTAGAAACTCTGAGCTCAGATCATAAGAATGTTACAAAGCTGTCAGACAGCACCACACTGGCTCCACCTTGGCTGCGTGGTTGTGCTTGTGAGATGAATTTTTTTCCCCATGTCTAGATCAGATCTGGACCCCTCCCTGCTGACCCAGCTTCTTAGGAGGAGGCATACACCTCAAGTCCTGTTCCCAACTGGGTTTTCCCTTGACTTTTTATAAGCTCTTTTGAGATAGATTCAATTGAAAAGGTGACATCCAGTTACTCAGAGGCAGCTTTACTGGCCATGGACATGAAACACTAAGCTGGCACTGGACAAAGATTCGTCATAGGAATTTTGTGCAGGGCCAATGAGATGGCTCAGCTTAAAAACACTTACTGCAAAAGCCTGAGTTCTGATCCTGGGAACCCATGTAAAAGTAGAAGGTGAGAATCAACCCCCAAGGTTGTTCTCTGACCTCTACACATGCTGTGGCATGTTTGTATCCTCCCACACAGACATATACGTAGTCATAGCTGCATATATACACATATTGTTTAAAAAGAATTTTGTACATATTTCATATCCCAATCCTAGCAAACGTGAAATTGTGTTAACATTTATTCTTTCACAATTTTATACATATATCTTACTTGATCTTAATCCCGGTTTTCCTCTCTTATCCCCTCCCAAATCCCCCTCTTATTTTTATTTTTTAAATATATTTTTTATTTTTATTTTATGTATATGAGAATATTGTCTGCGTGTGTGTAAGTGCACCTGTGTCATGCAGTGCCCAAGGAGGTCAGAAGAAGTCATTGTATTCCCCTAGAATTGGAGTTACAGATGGTCGTTAGCTACCATGTGGTGCTGGAAATCAAACCTGGGTCCTTTGCAAGAGTAGCCAGTGCTCTTAACCACTGAGCCATCTCTCCAGCCCACCCCTCCTATTTTTATACATCTCTCCTGCATCCCTGACTTTACCCTCAAAATGTAACTAGACCCTAACCATCTCCCACTACTCCCACAGCCCCAACCCCAGCCCAAGCCAGCAGTAATTCTTACTCAGGCATCATGGCTGCCCTGGGCTTTGCACCACATGTGAACATGTAGATGATAGGCCCTAGCCTTGCCCACAGAGCATGCTCAGTCTCCTGGGAAAGGTGGACATGAAGCTCAGTGTTCGAACCTGGGCCTTCTGCAAAAATAGTCAGTGCTCTTGTCCAGTGAGCCATCTCTCCAGCCCCCATCCCCATTTTCATGTTCCTCCCCCGCCTCCCCCCGCCACTTCCCCTCACTGAATATAATCATGGCTATCTGCATGAGCATAGGTGAAGGGTTAGGTACTTGTACTTGAGCACAGGCTACATTGAGAAATATAACTCCCCTTCCCCAATTTTTTTTTTCCCAACACAGGGTCTCATGTAGCCCAGGCCGGCCTTGGATTTGCTATGTAGCCAAAGATGACCTTGAATTCCTGATTCTATTACCTCCACCTCCCAAGTGCTGAGCTTACAGGTGTGAGCCATTATGTCTGGCTAAGCTTTGTCTTTCTAAGGGGTACATAGATTCTGGTGAGCTTTTCGTGAGAATGGTGGATAACAACTAGGTATGGTGGGGTGTTCCGGATTGAAGAAAGGATTCCCAAAGGTTTAAGGCCAGTTCTGGACTATAGAGTAAGACCCTGTCCCAACCTCCTCACCTCTGCCAAAGAGAAGGAGAATAGTGATTAATAGTCAAACATGCTGGTTTTTTGTTTTTTGTTTTTCCCAAAGAGAAGAATCATTAAGTGTATGAGTATTAAGCATCCATCCTGGGAAGGGGAATGTGAGGAAGGTTCTTGTGGAACATTGTACTTCATCTTGTAAGACCAGCTGAGGGTGGTATGTGAGTTAAGACTCACTTTTTTTCTTTTCTTTCCTTTTTTTTTGAGACAAGGTCTCACTATATACCCCCAGCTGGCCTGGAACTATGTAGATAAAGTTGGCCTTGATCTCCCCAAGTGCTGGAACTAAAGACATGGCATCACCATGCCGGGGTTTAGGGATCTTTAGCTGGCAGATGACTGAAAGCCAGGTTAAATCAGCTGAAACCAGAATTCATTTGCTCACCCGACATCTGGGCAGAGCCAGGTTGGGGAGCCCTGGAGAGCTGATTCCATCTTTACTGACTTCAGCAGGGGCTTCATTCTCAGGTCAGCTCTGGCCTCATGAGCCCCTGAATCTCAGGCTCATACCTTACTGCTATGAGAGGGAAGAGAGATTTTCCCTTTTCCAGGGGCCACATTCTAGAATCAAGTCTCTCTGGCTCTTTGTGACCTGGCTTAGAGCCCACACTGTGGCCAGGAGGATGTCATACCAGATTGGCATACCCACCCCAGGAGTCATCCATCAAGTCAGCTCCGTCCAACCTGTGTGGCCAGAGAGGGAAGAGGTGTTTCCCCAAGAAAGATTAGGGTAGTGGTGTGAGGTAATATTTGATGGCAGAAAGCTCCACAACAAGGAAGGTAGGAGGAAGCGTCTTGCCCAAGGACATAAAGCTGGGGAAAGGCCAGCACTCCTGACTTCTGAGCTCATGCTTTTGACCTCAACACTCAATTGCTTTTCCATTTCCAGATGTCCTACCGGGTGTAGAAAGTTAAGACACACCAGCCGCTGTGCAGGTTCTTGGCAACAAGAATGTCTTTCTCTTCCATTGTGAAACAGCGATTTCAGAAAGAAGACAAATCTTCGAGCGCTTATTTGTATTCATTTCTGTAACTCTGTCTCTTGTAACCTCAGACAGATGGATACCGAGCAACTATCCAATTACCGAGAACATCCGTGCCATATACTTGACATTAGAAAAACTCATTCAGTCTGAAGAAACCCAGGTGAATGGAATTGTAATTCTTGCAGACTACAAAGGAGTGAGCTTATCAAAAGCATCTCATTTTGGCCCTTTTATAGCCAAAAAGGTGATTGGCATCCTTCAGGTATGGCCCCCATGTGCCATGTGTCCATTTTGCTTTGACTTTACTGTCGACTTAATACTGTCTCATGGGGTTCCACAAGCCCCGCTTCCCACCTTCAGTCCCGTGCAATGATTCCCTTCAGGTACCTGATGAAGGTATTACTTACCTGGGCAAAAATAGCTTTAGGGTGAGAATCCAGAGCAAAACTGAAACCCTGTGCTTCTACTTACAGTGCCTGAGCCTTTCCTGCCCGTGTGGTATTCTGTGGGACTGTATTCTGGCCCTAGGACTTGCTCCTCAGGTTCCTTATATACCCACAGTGTTTAACGGTTCACAAAGTATTGTTCCAGTCAGTCATTCCAATCCAGTCCTTCAGGGATCCTAGGCAAGAATTTGTTTTTCTTGTTGATGGGGCAGCTGGAGCCTAGAGAACATGTAGCCTGGTCAGAGGTCTCAGCTGCAGGTGTAGACTTCTTGTTCATTGACCCCACCCCCAACCCCCATGCTTCCTCTTGTGAATTGTGGGGTTCCAGTGGTACAACTTCCCTTCTCTGAGTTCCATAAATGCTCAAGAGCCCCTGCTGCACACCTATTTATTTAAACAGACCACTGCCACATCACTGTTTGGGTTTTGGTTTGGTTTGGTTTTGAGACAGGGTCTCACCATGTAGCCCTGGCTGGCCTTGAACTCACAGAGATCCCACCTGCCTCTGCTTCCTGGGATTAAAGGCATGTGCCACCATGCACAATTTTTTTTAAAAAACCATGTGCATATGTGTCTATGTCTACATGTGGATATGTGCATGTGAGTATAGGTGCCCTTGGAGGCCAGAAGAGGGCATCAGATTCACTGGAACTAGAGTTACCATCCAACGTGGGTCTGCATGAAAACCAAACTCTGGTCCTTTGCAAGAGCAGTACATGCTGTTATTAACCATTGAACCATCTCTCTAGTTCCTCTTTCATTTTTTTTTTTTTCTGTCTTTTTGAGACAAGGTCTCCCTGTAGTCTCAGCAGGCCTGGAACTCCCTATGGAGACCAGGCTGGCTTCAAGCTCACAGAGATCTGCCTGCTTCTGCCTCCTGAGAGCTGGGATTAAGAATGTCGGATCTCTGTGAGTTCAAGGCCAGCCTGGTCTACCTAGTGAGTTCTAGGATAGCTGGGGCTACAGGGAGACCCATCTCAAAAAAAAAAAGACCAAAGAAAAAGTAAAAAATGTGTGCCTCTATGCCTGGCTTTTATTTATTGATTTATTTATTTATCTATCTATCTATCTACCTATTTATTTATCTATCTACCTGTTTATTTATCTATCTAGATATTTATTTATATTTTACGTATATGAGTGTTTTGCCTGCATGTGTATAAGTGTACCTGTGTGTACAATGCGCACAGAGGCCAGAGGAGGATGTCACATGGACAGTTGTTAGCTGCCATGTGCTTGCTAGGAACTTAACCAGCTCCCCCTGCAAGAGCACCCAGTGCTCTTAACCACTGAACCATCTCTCCAGGCCTGTTTTTGTTTTTTGAGACAGCATTTCATGTGGTCCAGGCTGGCATCAAACTTGATATGTGCTGAAGATTGACTTAATCCCCTGCCTCCACCTCCCAAGAGATGGGATTACAGGTGTGCACCACCACTCAGCTCCATCCTTGTAAAGTCGAAACTCTGGCTTTCCTTAGCTTCTAGCCTGTTTTTGTTCTCTTGGGGTGCTGGGAATAGAACTTAGGGTCTCGAATATGTTGGCAAAAGCTCTACCACTGAGCTATATCCATAGCTCCCTATCTTGATGCCTTCTGCTGAGTACCACAGAAAGTCAGTGTCAGGATATTCTAGACATGTGTTTTTCTACTCATGTAACATCACTTAGAAGGGACCAACCGGTCCAGGCTTAAACAAGTTTGGGAAATGTGGGATAATAGGGCCTTTTTCTTGTGAATTTCACTATAAACATCTGTGTATTAACTTAGGACATACATAAGGAAACCAAATTTAAAAACAAACAAAAATTTTAGTGATCCTGGAGGTTAAACCTAGAGTTTTACTGTATATGCCAGGCAAGGGCAATACCGCTGAGCTTTACCCTCAACCTTTCTTTCTTTTTTTTTTTTTGGTCTTTTTGAGACAGGGTCTCCCTGTAGCCCCAGCTGGCCTGGAACTCACTCTGTAGACCAGGCTGGCCTTGAACTCACGGAGATCCACCTGCCTCTGCCTCCCGAGTGCTGGGACTAAAGGTGTGTGCCACCATGCCCAGCCCCAACCCTTCTTTTAAAACAAAATTATTTTCAGACAGTGTTTTCCTAAGTGGCTCAGGCCTACTTTGATTTTTCTTTTAATCCAGACAGGCCTTGAATTTACAATCCTCCTGCCTTGGCCTCCCAATTAAGATTACAAACCTACACCAGCCAGACCTGGCTAAGGAAACCTATTTGACTGTGTTTAGGACTGTGTATTTGTCAGGTATATGTCCCTGCAGTGTCATCTTGTTTCACATCACATCTAAAACACCTGGGAAATGCACTTAGTGTGACAATGACCTGGAAGGTCTGCTGTTTTCCTTCCAGCTTCTCTGGACTTAGGCCATTGTTTGCTGCTAGAGGAGGGGGCCCTCCACCTGTTTGCCTAAGTCTTCTGACCCAGACCTCCCTAAAATCTGCCATTTGTTCTGCACTTGGGCTGCCTTTGAAGAGGCTGTGAGAGTCAGATCAGACTGGTGTGAGACTTAGCATGGGGGTATAAATGGGGAGGCCAGCTGCAAGAGGGGACAGCATACAGACCCTGCAAATGTTCTAACATGGCCTTTCCTTCCACCCCCAGGATGGCTTCCCCATTCGGATAAAAGCAGTCCACATAGTGAATGAACCTCGGATATTTAAAGGCATTTTTGCCATCATAAAACCATTTCTGAAGGAGAAAATTGCAAACAGAGTAAGTGGCGGTCAGATGCTTTAATTTTTTTTTTCTTCCTTGATTTGTGACATCTAGAACTTTTGTTTGTTTGATTTTGGTTTTTTGAGACAGGGTCTCCCTGTAACCCCAGCTGGCCTGGAGCTTGGTATGTAGACCAGGCTGGCTTCAATCTCATAGAGATTGGCTGCTTCTGCCTCTGCCTCTGCCTCTGCCTCAAGAGCTGGGCTTAAAGGAGTTTGCTGCTACACCTGGCTTGGAAAGTATAAGGGTACAAGTGAAAATGAACCAGCCTTTGTATGAGGGGACGATAAAACTACTAAGAATGTATCATTTGCACATGGAGAGGCCAGGGCCTCATGTAGCCCAGGCTGAGGCCAGGATTTCTGTCATAAGCTTCCTCTCTTGTGTAATCATCCAGACTTCTTGGCCTCCTGGCTTAGGCACTGCAGACCAACAGTTCATTTTATGTATAAGAGGGTCTGGGAAAGAGGAGAAACAAGTCACCAAGCAGGTGGATTGGTCATTTCTAGACCAAAACCCCATGCATGCTAGGCAAGTGCTCTTCCACTGAGCCACACAGCTAGCCCTAGTGACACTTTAGGGGGAGCCCTCCTCTCAGAGCCACTGATGGAAATGGCACAGTGGCAGTTTTTTCCTCTACATCTGGGACCAAAACTGGGTCCACAACTAAATACTTTTTTGAAGAGAAAATGTATAGATAATCTCAAGGTTGTTAAGAGAGGAAACATGAGCCTGGAGAGATGACTCAGTGGCTAAGAGCACTTACTACTCTTGCAGAGGACCTGAGTTCAGCTCCCAGCAGCCCATGGCAGCTCTGGTGCTCTCTTCTGTTCTTCCAGGTACACATACGTATATACATACAGGCAAAACAATTGTACACATAAAATAAAAGGGACAAGGGGGGAGAGACAGACAGACAGAGACAGAGAGAGAGACTTAAAATCCAGATCCCGATTCCCAAGCCCTCTGTCCCCAAAAAACAGATGAGTTGCGGAGTGCAGAATTTCCTTAGGTAATTCTGATCATGGGCTTTTGCTCATTCAGTGGCGTCCCTGGTTGAATTGAGCCCATGATGCCTGCCTTACTTTTCTGTTGCTGTGGTAAACACCCTGACAAAAACAACTTAAGAGACAAAGGTTTATTTTAGCTCACAGTTCAACATACAGTCCATGATGGTGGGGAAATCAAGGCAGATGGAAGTAGCTGGTCACGAAGCATCCAGTCAGAAAACAAGAGCGGGGTGATTCATCTTAGTGCTCAGCTGGCCTCCATTTTCTACAGTCCAGGATCCCCTGCCACAATTCAGATGGGTCTTCCCACATCAGTTAACATAATAAAGGTAATCCCCCACGGGCACGCACAAAGACCCATCTCCCAGGTGATTCAGGACCACATCAACACATCTAGATCCTGTTATATTGACACTAACCGTCACTAGTCCTAAAGAGATTAACATTTGCACAGACCTTTTCATCCATGATGTCCTGTATTTGTGGTGCATGATGCTGTTCGTTTGTTCCCTCCTGTGTTCGCTCATTCATTCAAAGTTGTTGACTCATCATCTTTTATGGGCATCATGGAAAGAACAGGCCTAAACCCTGCCCCAAAGATACATTCTGGAGAAGCACACAGAGAATGGATTGTGTGTGTTATCTAGAAGCTGGTAAGGACTGCAGAGAAAATGAAGCAAAGAATGGAATTGTATAAGGTGGCAAAGGGGTCACAGTGCTCATCAGGGTGGTTAGAGGTGGTACCACTGAGAAAAATGGCATTTGAGTCTTAGAAGGCAAGGGAGGGAAGGAGCCGCACAGCAACTGGGAGACCAGCACTGTGACCCTGTGGTATGCAAGGGGTTCCCGGCATGTTGGAGGAGCAGGTAGGAGGCTTGTGTGGCTGGTGTTGGGTAGAAGGGAAGAGTCTGGTGAGAGGAGGCATCTGAGACGTCAAAGGGCCAGATGGCTAGGCCATCATTTGGACTCTGGCTTTTAGCCTGTGAGATGGAAGCACTGGAAGACCGGCAACAGAGGAGTGATGTGATCGGATTCACAGAAAGGAGCTGATTGTAGTGGGACAAGATTGGATGCCAGGAGGCCAGGGAGGAGGCTGATGTGAGGCTCTGGGAAGTGATGGTGGCAGGAACAGGTGGGATCCTAGGTGTTTGGAAGGTCAGTGAACAGGAGGTGCAGGATAAGGGAAAGAGAATTCAGGTCGCTCCATGCTCCTGGGACTGAGCAACCTTTCTTCACTCAGTACATTTGGAGCACCCGCCACAAAGGAGATGGCTACGTTACTGAGTCCCTGAGGATGTGCATTGGCACTTATTTTATGTTTTTATTAGAGTATATTAGTTATACATAATGGGGTTCATTATGACATATCCATAAATGTGCACGTATTTTACTATATTCACTCCCCACTACCCTCGTGTCCACATGGGCCGATCCCCCTCCTCCTTTGACCTAGTCCCCCTTCTGCCTTCATGTCTTTGCTCTTGGTGATTCCATGAGTTTAATTAGGGTTGCTTACAGAAGCATGGGTGAAGGGCTATTTACAGGAGCATGGGCACTCAGTGACTATACCGATGAAGAAAATGCTGCCCCCTCCCCTAGCAACCACTAATTGCTTATAGATCCTCAATGAGGGGCAGAGTCCCATGAGTCCTCCCCCACCCCCCATGATGAGATGTTGTAGGGCCCAGTCTTGTACAGGTCTTGTGCATGTGATCAATGCTGCTTTTTATACCATTCGCTTTTAGTTCTTCCTCCATGGGTCCAACCTGAACTCTCTTCACACAAACCTTCCAAGGAGCATCCTTCCAAGGGAGTACGGGGGCACAGCTGGAGAGCTGGACACTGCCACCTGGAATGCCGTGCTGCTGGCCTCTGAGGATGACTTTGTCAAAGAGTTCTGCCAACCCGTGCCTGCCTGCGATAGCATCCTGGGCCAGTCGCTGCTGCCTGAGGGGCTGACCTCAGATGCACAGTGCGATGACTCCATGCGAGCTGCGAAATCCCAGCTCTACTCCTGTTACTAGCACTGTTCTGAGGGTGCCACCATGTATAGTTCTAACATTCCTTCCTTAGAAATGCAGAACTTAAGGTGCCAAGACCTCATCTTGCTACCTGTAATGAACGAACAGCCTGTAGAGCCAAGGCCAGCCCATCACAGGACAAACCTTCAGCTCCTTGGATTATTCCAGGGAAGACACAGAAAATGGCCCAGCACACATCCCAAATGGTTGGACTCTTGAATCCTGGAAGCTTTGTTTCTTACACATCTTGGAAGGCAGTCAGGACCAAAGTCACTCTGATCCTACTTTCCAGGAGAAAAAAACCTAACTGGTCAGTCAGCACTCCCCTAAAACAATTTGGCCAATCCTGAAAGGTGAGACATGGCAAGTCTCTTTCCCATGAACCCTGTCGACTGACCTCTGTCACTAATCAGCAGACTTCAAGTTCGAGGTCCAGGCTCCGATTGTCATCACTGGGCCTGGAAAGCACTTTATTGGAGCTGTGGAAACACCAGGACCCAGGCAGTACTTCATGATCACACTTGGAAGCTAGAGGCTTCAAAGCATCCCTGGGGTTCCTGGGTTGAATCTTGCAGTAGAAACTTTTCCCAAACCCACAAAGCCTTAGCCCTGGTATTCCATGGAATTGTATACATCAGTGTAAAATACTGGATTCTAGGCCTGTGAGGCTAAAAGAATTTGAGATCAGGAATCAGGTTTGTGACTGGCCAAGACATGGGCATCTGCTTTCTCATCTGTAAAGTGAGGTTGTTTGGAATGGTGGCTGAATGGATCTGGTAATAGGTTTAGCTTCTGTTAGGTTTTCTGCCTGGAGAGGTGACCAGCTAGGTACAGGTGGTTGGGTCTTGGTCTTTCATGGCACTTATCCAGGCCTTACATGAGAGCATCGCCATTTAGCCCAGGCTTTAAAGAATGAGCATGTGCATTCCTGGGACCTGATGATTAACAGCTTTGGTAGTGATGTGTAACCATTAAAGAGTTGACTTTGTGAGGCTGGCAGGTGACCCAGGTAGTGTATGAACTTCCATCTTGATTGCCACACTTGGGCTTCTTCTGTTCATCCCTGGAAACACACGGGCAGGTTATTTTGAGTTCACCCTGGGGCCCGGCCCTCTCGAACCCACTGGAGTGTTGGCCTGATGGTGTGGGAATTCTGTATCATGCACTTTGGCACCCCGTCAAGATTTTAGCCTTAACCCAAGCATTGAGTGAGGTGGTTCATCTGCTGGCTCTGATGTGTTTCCCTCAGTGTTCCCCATGTGGTAATGGTGTTAGACAGTGTCAAGTACTCTATTGTGGGTGTACCTCCTCCGTGCATTTAGTAGACTAAGCAGGCAGTTAGATGACTCAGTTAGGCAGTAAAAGTGCTCTGACACTCAAAGTTCAGCCAGTTGTTAACTAAGCTGCTCCTCCTTACACCACTTCCCAGAATGTCTGCATAAGCTGTTGGAAATTACTCACCCCAATTATGCTAATTCTAGGGGAGTTCTTTTCATCATAGGTACTAACCCTGGATTTTCTAGGGTCTGGGCTGAGCTGAAAGTGCCAGACCCCTGCTGACTGCCCCTGGTCCCATCCACAGCCACCTATGGCTGACATTCTGCTCTTTGGTTCCGCTACTGGCAGGTTTTCTACCTTAGAGGGATGGCTACCCAGAAAAGACCAGTGTGGGACAGTGGGATGTGGGGAGAGAAAAGACAAAGGGAAGGATGAATCCCACCAAGGTCCCTGGGTTTAAATCCAATCGTGTAACTAGCGTGTTGTCTATGTGATGTAGCACAGGGACAGGGATAGCCAGGCTTATCTGGAGAAATCTCAGATGAGATAGGCTATTGCTCTTTTCCCATGCCTTGCTGGCTAGACCTAGGAGCTATTTCATCCAGCCTCCAAGGAGTCAGCCTGGTCTACCAGCCTCCTGGATCTGTTCTGCTTTGTGCTGGCTCCTGAGAGATCAGTCTTAGCCTCTCAGGAGGTTTGAAGCATGCTGTGAAACCAGGACGTCCCGGTGCAAAGCAAGGTGGCTCCTCTGGTGAGCAGTGGGATGCAGCCAGCCTCAGTCACTGGGCGCACACAGTGGAGCACTGAGAACCCAGGAGTGTCTGCCTTTAGGGAAAAGTTGTAGTCATTTCACAAACAGCTGGAAAGGATCTTTTCCTGAAATTCAAGGTATTGGGAAGGGGAACGGGGTAGTGAATTAGAAGTGGGGTCCAACTCTTATTTTCCTATGTGGCCTTGAGTGTGCTGCTTAACACCCATGAATCATGGGACATAGGGGCTTACATGCTAAACTCTGAATCCTCTGTTCCAAATGTCTCTCTTGCCATAAGGGACACTGTGTTCTGTGTTTTTAGAGTGGCCCTCCCAAAAAAATCTAGATTATTTAGGAAATGTAGATCTGAGTGAATTGGTGCCTAAATATGCTAGTTTAGGAATATGAGTTTTCTTCCTCCCATTCCTAGTCCCCTTCAGACCTCTAGGAAGCTGGGTTTCCTAGAACCTCGTCTAACTTCGTGGCGAGGCAGATGAATACACAGCAGCAGCCAGAAGTGCTGACTTCACCAAGTTTCCTACCTGCTCCAAAGGTGGGCTCAGACCACTCACACTTCATCCCACGTTCCGGAGGACTCACCTAGCCTGGGTTTATAAGCACTTTAGGTTACAAGATGGTTTTTTTCCAGAGCTGGGGGGATTCACAGGGGGCATTTCCCCTGCAGTCCTGTGACACAGAGCCTTACTACCAAGCAGGCAGTTTCTTACGTGCTGCCTCATTCTCCGATCATTCTTGGGTCTGCTTTTTCATCTGGACAGCAACCGCTAACGGCTGCTGTGGCATGTCACAATACCTCATCTTAAGCTATACCCCAGGTTTCCCTTTGATTTAGAAGAGGAAAACGTTAACTAAATTGGTATGTGTGGCCTCGTGAGGCTGGGACACCAAACATGGGCTGCTCAGGAAAGACGTCTGTCCTGGTAAGGGCTCTACATTGCCATCTGTTAACTTTGTGAATCTAAATTCCTTTCTCCTCTCCTGATCCGGAAATGCATTGTTGGGAATGCAAGAAAGATCATAAAATACTTCTTAATGGGAGCTTCTCCACACGAGGTGAGGTCTGGTATGGCTTGCGGCTGGAGATGACCACTGGTTTTCAATTAGATGGGGTTTTGTTTTCAGTTTCACTGGCAGCTTGTTCCATTGGGTAGTGAGTGGCTGTTGCTTTGGGTTCTTGTGGATACGCCTGGCATATCACGTGAGAACCTCACAGGTGAAATACTGAAAACTCAGTGGCCAGGTCCTCTGCCACCACTCTCTGATTGGGTGGGAACTGGGCTAATTTCCTGGCCAGTTTTCCTAGCCTCTGCTCACATTCCTTACTTCAAACTGAAATTCAGTTTGGCTTTGAGTGTAGGGACATGTGCTGGATTCATCTACTTCAGTGTTTGTTTTGACCAAAAGTTTATTTTTCTAGTGCATTTTTCTAAGTGGTAAAAATATGTAATTTTAGTATGCATGACTGGGTCTTCAATAAAAATCCCTGTAAGGCTGAGTATGTGTCATTCTTTTGTGACAGTGGGTCTGGATCCACACTGAGTTTTCCTAACCATAAGCCCCGGCAGAGGCTCCTCCCCTGTAGGTGAGGGTGGGAGGGGTATGCCAGAGGCTGGCTACTTCCAGAGATCATGCGTCCTTCAGTCATCCGAGTGTTTGAAGGATGAGCCTAGCTGTGTCCAGGGGTAGAGGAGTGTGTGTTTTTCAGCTCTCAAGGGCTTGAGCTGCTTCTCTGGACTGGCCCTGAATCCTTCCAGTGAGAGCTAATGATCTTGAGTGGTCCTGTGGGCTGGGCATGTGTGTTAAATATACACAATACATAATCTCATTTAATCTTCACATGCCCTTAACGAAGTATATTGCCTCTGTGATGTAAAATGGGGCACAGAAGAGTGCAGCAGCTTGCCAAGAACACAGCTAAACAGTAGGGATTAGACTCGAAGCCAGACTGTCTGACCACATTGGGAGGACACGACGGTTGGAGCTCAGTGGTACACAGCTCTTGCTCTTACAGTCAAGTACCAACCCCTGAGACAATGGAAAGGTGGCAGGAATCTTTTAGAGTAAGAAAGCCAGGTGCCTGTCGTCCCTGCTCTCTGGGAAGCTGAGGCAGAAGTTTGAGGCCAGTCCGGGCAATATAGCCAGACTCCATTTCGCCACTTGATTTTAGCCAAAAAGGCAAAAAAAGAAAAAAAAAGAGAGATTCCATTTCTTAAAAATAAATAGGGTTGGAGAGATGACTCAAGGGCTAAGAGCATTTGCTACTCTGTAAAGGACCCAGGTTCAGTTCCCAGCACCCACATGGCAGCTTACATCCTTCTGTAATTCCACCTTTTTCTGGGCTCCCTCAGCACCAGGCACACACGTGGTACATACATACATGCAGGCAAACACTCATATACATAAAAATAAATCTTTTAAAAAATCAGAAATTTGGATTGCATTCTGGATACATAGTGCACAAGTTTTCTTTGGGGGAAGATATTCGAACAGGATCTCATGGACCCTAGTTGGACCTCAAACTTGCTAGCTAACCAAGGATGACCTTCAACTTTTGCCTCTACCCCCCACGTGCTAGAAATACAGGTATACCACATTTTGTTGTTTTTAAGATGGTCTCACTTTGTACTTAATGGATGACCTCAAACTCACGGTAATCCTCCTGTCCCAGCCTCCTCAGTACTGAGATGACAGACGTGAGCCACTATGCCTAGATCCACAGTGATTTTTTGTTTTTCTTGGGTTCATTTCCCATTGCACTAGTTTTTAGCAACATACATTAATCATACATAATGGACTGCATTGACATTTTCATATATGTAATATATTTTGGTGGTAATTTCTCCTACTACCCTCCTGTCTCCTCTCCCACTGACTCCCTTTTCCCAACTAGTCCCCTTTCTGCTTGTGCCTTTTTTGTTGTGAACCAATGAGTTTAATGAGGATTACATGGGCAACTTACCGGTGGCTACACTACTGAAGAAAATGTCTCACCCTTAGCAACTGCCTGTGGCTCAGGGGTGGGGTTCTAATGCCCTAGAGCAGACAGTAGTGGGTCATAGCCCATCTGGCTGGTATGGTGTTTGAGTCAGTTGAGAACACTAACAGGATGTAGGCCTGCTGTTGGCTTCCAGTAATACAATAGGTGAGTACTCAGGCTGCCACAGAGCCAGGTCTTCAGGAGAGCCTTTTCTGAGGACAGCATGATGAACTTCAACTCAGTTTGTCAATCTGGGAAATGGGAACTAACAGCCCAATGCTTTAGCTCACAGCAGTTATGAGGCTCAACAGAAATACAGTACTTTTCCAGGTCTCCTGACACAAAGTCAACTGGTTGGACACTCACAGTTAAGGCAGTTCAACTTTAATGTGATTGCATTTAAATCTGGTGAGTAGGGCTGGGGTTGTAGCTTAGATGGGTCAGGTGCTTAGCATGTGGAAGGCCCTGAACACAAAAATAATAATAAAGCGGACAAGTAGTAAGATCCTTTGGGGTACCACTTTTCTTGGTGGTGGTGGGGGGTTAACAAGTGTCACACTATTACCTGACTAGATGCTGGTTACTAGGGATAGTGACCTTGTAAGACACTAGTGACAGCCTACAGGTAATTTGTAAGCAGTGGGTAGTTTCATGAGCCAGCTGATTCTCCTGCCGATCTCCAAGCAGTTCCCAGTATATTTGGTCTCCTATACCTTCATGGACCCAGAAACAATAAGGTCTGTTCAAGTCAAGCCCTAGATTTCTCTTTGCCTTACCACATCCTGGTTACTAACCTTGGGCAAATTAACTTCTCTAAGCTCCAGTTTGAGCTATAAGGGGAAAAGGGAGGTAACAGCCACCATACAGATTTGTGCAACGTCCAGTCACTGCTTGCACATGTAGCTATTTAGGTGACCTTTTTGGGGGGTGGAGAGGTGCTAGGGATTGAATGGAAGGTTTTGGGAATGCTAGGCAAATGCTCTATCACTGGGCTATATCTCCAGCTATATGACATCTATTATTTTTCACTTGAGGACCCAGACATAATGTGGCTGGAGTCATACAGCAGTAATTTGTGTACCTAGGTAACAAGGTATATGGACCAATACAATGGGAGTAAAGAGAAGAACAGCAGCTCCCATTCATATAACAAGCATAGGTCTGACATCAATGCATAGAGACCACACATTACCTGAATACCTAGTTTAGCTTCCAATGTAAAAAGAAAAACACAAAGATTTGTAATGTAATAAAATGTTGTCCTGCTTTAAATCAGGCCTGAGTTAGGGTTTGGTCCAGGATAGCCAAAGCTCTGCTGATACTCAGGTCCATGGCATTTTTTCCCCTCATACATGCTAGACAAGCATTCTACCACTAAGTTATATTACTTAGTACTTTTTAAAATGTTTTATTTTTTTTTTTTTATGTTTTTCTTTTTTTTTTTTGGTCTTTTTGAGACAGGGTCTCCGTGTAGCCCCAGCTGGCCTGGAACTCACTATGTAGACCAGGCTGTCCTTGAACTCACAGAGATCCACCTGCCTCTGCCTCCCAAGTGCTGGGATTAAAGGCGTGTGCCACCACACCTGGCTATTTTTTATTTTATGTGTATGCGTGTATTGCCTGCATGTAGGTAAGTGCAACCTTGAATGCCCGCGGAGGACAGAAGAGGCCTTCGGATCCCCTGGAACTGGAGTTACGGACAGTTGTTAGCTGCCATCTGGGTTCTGTGATTCGAACTCAGGTCTTCTGCAAGAACAGGCAGTATTCTTAAACGCTGAGCCATCTCTCCAGCCCCACCTAGTACTTTTTTGATATAGGGTCTCCCTATGTTGCTCAGGATAGAACTCACTCTGCAGCCAAGGCAGGCCTTGAACTTGTGATCTTCTCGTCTCAGCATCCTGAGTCGCCAGGGATTACAGGTCTATACCACCACATCTGGCTTCCAAGGCTATTCTTTAGCAGTACCTTTTGATATCAAGATAAAATTTTAGGCTGGGCATGGTGGCAATTGCCTATAATCTCTCAGTATTTGGGGGGTGGAAGAGGCCACGGGAATTCTGAAATTTCAAGGCCAGCCAGGCCTAACAGGAAGTTGCAGGCCAGTATGGCCTACACAACAAGACTCTATTTCCAAACAAAAAGTCCAATCTAGGAAGTGAAGTCATCCAAGATGGGCCTACCAACTTTCTCCTATCTGTAGCTAGGATGGAGTGGCAGCCACTGCTGTTGCTTTTGATAAATTTCTAGAGCATGCCACTGACCTCAGAGTAAGGGCCTTCAATCTGCAGACGTACGTGTGATGAAAACACCAGGTGACTCATCTAGGACAAGAGGACACGGTCCTGTTTTGAAGTATGATCATAGACTCACTCAAAACTCCCTTTATTCATGTTTGTGTACAGTTCCGCACTCACACATAATCCACTAAGTCGTGAATGGCTGGAATTCATCACAGTGTAGCCGAACAAAGGGCACTGCTCCCAATTTTCAAAGAAAATCTATTATTTCAAATTCATCTTATCATCGTTAATAACTACTGCACTTCATTACATTAAAAACAGCTTAGTACTGCTTTTATTTTGAAAAACACGAGGCAAAGGAGGGGGTACTGTTTTTGAAATTTAGGACCTTTAAAGCCTGACTACCCTGCTGTTAAGAAAAGTAGGGTCGCTACTTTACACGGGCAAGATCAGGTGCCAACCCCATCTCCCCCACAAATACTTATCACCTTGATTTCCACACACGGACCTAAAGGACAGTGGTTCCAATAGTTCCTATCAAACCCAATTCCCCTACCACCAATTCTACTCAACCAACTATCTTTACTATGTTCCTGTTTAACTGTATAATAATACCTCAAACCAGCCTCTGTCAAATTCTGAACATCTCTGACCTCTGGAGTGGCAGCCAGTCTTGCTTTAATCCATATTGACATTAGAACTTACTGTCAAGAGTGCTTAAAATGAGTTTAAGCACTTTGTAAAAGAACTTTATAAACACTCTTCTGTACAAAGTACCGTCACTGAGGCTCAGATAGGCAGAGTGCCCAAGGTCACAAGCACAAAAAATACATTCACTAAGTATTAGATGACAGTTGATAGCTAACCCAAAAGGTCGATTCCCAAACCTACATATCACTTGAAGGGACCACCTCTGTCCAAAATAACCAGTGTTACCTCTACCCAGAATCACCCAGAAATCTGCCTCTCCTCTAGACACTTAAACACTAAAGTAAAAATGGACTAAGCTGTCAATTCCTCCCCATCCCCTCCACTTCTCTGTTTCAAATCTCATGGATAACCCTGATCCACATCATCAGCCCAAGTACTGACTCCTAAGGGCACTTTCTCTAGAAGAGCCCTGTAACAGCCTCTAACCAGGAGCCTCAGTGTTCGGTACTCATTTGCCACACCTGTCAGCTCACTTTCACTCACTGGTAGGTCAAGATAAAAAAGTACATCTGTCTTGTCTTCAACCTTAAGGGCCTGGTGCAGAACAAACATTAAGTCTTTGCTGAAAACACTGATTTATCCTACACCTCCTTGCATGCTGCCTTTCAGGGTTATCTTTCTTGAAAGTGCCTTAACGGTCTCTCCCTACCAAAGTTTTACCCAGAGAAAACATTTAGGGGAGTTTTCTGAAAGAATTCAAGACTTAGTCAAATTTTATAGAGGAAATTTGGAGCATCCTTGTTAAATGCCAGTTTAACATATGATTCTCAAAAAAACAAAACAAAAACAAAAATACAAGGGGCCTTAAGAAGTTGAGCAGGGCAGCACAGACCTACAATCTCAGTACTCAGAAGCTGAGGCAGGAGGATTGGAGTTCCAGGCCAGACTGTGATACATATAGAAAACACTCTCTCTCTCTCTCTCTCTCTCTCTCTCTCTCTCTCTCTCTCACAAAAACCCAAACTTAATGTCTATTTTAATCAAATACCTTTATAGTGCAAATATAGTAAACTGACATGCATTTTACTTTTACATATTCAAAACAAGATCATTACATGGACATTGCAGTGTTTCCCCAGTGAATTTTCATTTTAATCAAACCTACAAAGCATTTATTGAAATGAACATATCTGGCAAAGCCACAGAATTCTACCAAGCAGCATCAATGCTGTAGTATTAAAAGGTAAATACATAAACTCAAGATGTAGCCTCTTGAAGCCTTGTCAGCAAGCACCCCTCTGGGAAGGACCTGCATACATAATCCTTGCCCAAGAACCAGGACGCTGCATCTCTCAAGAGTCTCTGTAGGAAACAGTGCCTGTATCACATGGTAAAGACCTTTACAGAGAAAGTGTGCATTAATGCATTATTTTTTTGCTTTTTAAGGAGACTGCAATAGAAATATATTAAAGATAGCTTCAAATATTCAACATTCTTCTACCTTATATTTTAAACCAAAGTTGTAGGAATCTACAGGTCTTTATAAAGAACTCTCTTCACAGCACAGCTGTAGTTCACGTTAAAACATAAAATGTTCCCTTTGTGCTAGAGCCCTACAAATAAACATACTATTCATACAGAAATGAAAAGCTCAGATTCTGCATCAAGCATTATTCAATCTTGCCTTTTGATATAAACCTGAATATAGTCAACTCTGCAAAGCGTTCACATTGATAGTTTAGTTGACGCAAACTTAAAAGGGATGTGAGTTTTGGAGCAAAGGAGACCTTTGTAAGTTTTAGCAGTGTCCTTGGCCTTGAAAGTTCAGCTGAAGTCCCGACCAGTGAGGATGAGTGGAGCTACAAGAGTCCAGAAATAAAGGAAGAGGCACATCCAGCTGGAGATCATTTTGACCCACACAGCTGGCCACTTGCTGGTTACGTTCTGGAACTTGGCATCAGGGCTAAGGAAACAAAGAGAGTCAGGTGAAGGAGCCTGGTATCAGCAGGCAACACCCCTCCTGCCCCACTCACCCTGGCCAATGCGAAGATTAGCCACAGGAGGGTTCTAGTTGAGATTTGAGAAGCTACTGTTTTTAGTTATTATGACCAAAGGACTCTGCCTCTCAAATAGCATTTTCCTTCTTGCTAGCATGAAGACCTGAGTACTCTGGGTAAGGTTCTTCAGGACCACCTGAATTGCTCTAATTATTGGCAAAAGAGCTCCCTGAAACATTCCTTCCTTAAAATACTATTACTTTGACCAGAATACTTTAATATGGCGTCTCTAAGCACAGAGGAAAAAAATTAACAAAAATGGGTTAAATGGCTTCATGTCATAATTCTCTCTCAAATAACTGAAGTCTAGATGAGCTACCAATGATTTGAACTGTAAGAAATCCCAACTGGACTCCATTTTAAGCGGAGCATGGTGGCACAGACTTGTAATCCCAGGCTGAGACAGAAGTCAGCCTGAACTACATAGCAAGACTATCTCAAAACATAACAAAGCAAGCAAAAACCCCCAAAACAAGAACAAAAAGCTGGATTTCAGAAAATGGCACTGAAACTGGCTTCTTTATGAGTAAGAAAAGGATCTGCAGAAGGACAATGGATGGAGACTGCAGGTATGCTGAGGGGGCAGGAGTCTCCCTTTGTCTGACCTACCTGTACCAGCTGGTTATGGTCATCATGACATACAAGGAAGCAAAGCAGAGCATCAAGTGGAATAAGGAGTAGCTATACTGCACTCCCTCCCTCTCATTGTCCACAGCCCGCCGAGGCTGTCCATCTTCTTCATCACCGGCTCCATTGGTGGTGTCACGGAGGATAACACTGTCACTCCCTGAGAGGGTCAGCTTTTTAACTTGGCTATTGCTCGAAGTGCGGACACTACGAAGTGATCACAAGGAAATCAAATCAGAAAGGGGTGATTTTATATGAAGTGATGCCTTTTGCCTACATACAAGGAGGCTACTTCTGAGATACTCCCATTTTGGACATGGAAGGCCTTTTGAAAGCCCTGCTCAGTTGTAACCTGCTGTCTGTAATTAAAGGACAGCTCATACCTGTTACTACTCAATGGCCCAATTTCAAAAGCACACTATGCCATAGTACCTCTTCCATTATGACACAAGAGCCTCTTCTCTGCTTAGACTGTACCATCTACCTTTTTCCTATCCCTTCTCTGACTCAGTACCACTGCCTCTTGAAAGCCTTCCCTCCCAAGGCTGAATGAGGAGCCTCTCACAGCTCTCTAGGTATCCTTCTGTCCTGGCACTCGTCAATCATGCCATGCTTGAAACTCCTTAGTACCAGCTCTATCATCTCTGCATTGCCTGCAATGCAGATGCTCACTAGAACAAGTTAAATGATTAAAACATCCCCCCCACACCCACACCCAAAACCATAATCATTTCGATAGAAAAAGCATCTGACAAAATTTAGTGTATTTTCAAGATGAAAATACTCAAAGCAGAAATAAAGAATTTTCTCCACTGATGAAGTCCATCAATGAAAAAGCCCAGAGCCAATGCCATACTTAATGGTGAAAGACAAAAACAAAACAAAACAGAAAAACGCTTTGCTCCCAAGCTCAGGGCAAGGATACCATTCCTGCCACTCCTGAATCTTCTACCCAGCACTCTTACCAGAAGTTCTAGGCATAGCAGTTAGACAAGAAAAAGAGAGGAACAAGATTCAAGTTAGAAAAATTATCTTTATTCAACAGCTGACTTGATCCTCTGTGTAGAAAATTCTATGGAATAACACAAACTATTAGAACCAGTAATTGACAAATTCACAAGGTCAGATCGAAATATAGAAAGTACTTACCTCCTATACTCAGCCCACAAATCAGTTCCATTTACCATACCATCAAAAAGAATTACTTAAAAAAGTTTAAAATTTAACAGAAGTTTAAGATCTGTATGCTAACGATAAGCCACGCAGAGAAATTAAAGACCTAAATAAACATTTAAGACTTTAAGTTATCTCACATTCACAGATTAGAAGCCTTAGTACTGATCTACAGATCCAATGTGAACACTATCAAAATCTGAACTACCAACCAGGTATACTGACTAGTGCCTAGAATGCCAGCACTTAGAAGGCAGCAACAGGACATCAGAAATTCAAGACCAGTGCAAGGCCAGCCTGGGCTATGTAACGCTTTCTCAAAAACAAAAACAAAACAAACCTACATATTTCTGTAGCAACTGACAAACTAACTTCTAAAATTCTTATGGAAATGCAAAGGACCCAAAGTAGCCAAAACAATTCTGGGAAACAAAGAAACAAACAAAACCACCACAACAAAACACCCAGGATTCAAATTTCCCCAATGTCAAAAACTGCTACAAAGCTACAGTAATCAAAACAATGTATGTGACAACATACACATCTAATTAAGCAGAATTAAGAGTTTAGGAATGAACCACTACATACATGACAAACAGATTTTTTTTTTTTTTTTTTTTTTTGAGACAGGGTCTCCCTGTAGCCTCAGCTGTCCTGGAACTCACTATGTGGACCAGGCTGGCCTTGAACTCACAGAGATCCACCTGCCTCTGCCTCCCAAGTGCTGGGACTACAGGCGTGCACCACCACACCTGGCTGAAAAAACTGATTTTTGACAAAAATGCCACAACAAGAAAACTGAGAAACAATAGTCTCTTCTACAAGTGGTGCTGGGACAACTGAACATCCACAAGGATGAAGTTGGAGCCTCTCCCCAAACAATAAATAAGAACAACAGACGGCTAGGGGTGCAGCTAAGTGCGTGTGAATGCCTGACATGCCCGAGCCTCAGGTTTGATTGATTCACCAACCCTCTCCCTCTCCCTCTCCCTCTCTACCTCAATTAAGAGCCAGCAAGATGGGTTGGTGGAAAAGGTGCTTGCCCAAGCTTGCTGGCCTGAGTTTGATCCCTGAGACCCACATGGCAGAAGGAGACAACTGAATTTCACAAGTTATCCTCACTTCCACAGGGACACTGCAGCTTGACATATATATAAACGCAACACTGTTTTAAAAAAAAGATGGGCTGGAGAAATGGCTTGGCAGTTAAGAATACTTGCTGCTCTTCCAGAGGACCCAAGTTTGGTTCCCAGAAACCACAGCAGGTGGCATCAGGGGATCTGACACCCTCTTCTGGCCTCCACAGGCACAGGCACAGGCACACGTGTACATGTGTGTGTATACACACACACACACACACACACACACACACACACATAAAACTAAATCTTTAAAAGAATTCAATTTAAGGGTTGGAGAGATGGCTCAGGGATTAAGAGCTCTGGATGCTCTTGCAGAGGACCCGGGTTCAGTTCTCAGCATCCACATGGCGGCTCACAGCTGTCTGTAACTCCACTTCCAGGAAATCCAATGCCCTCTTCTGACATCCAGCAGGCATTGCTCCACACAGGTGCACTTCCACACATGCAGGCAATATACTCATAAAATAAAAATAAATATAACAATAATAATAGGCAATTAGCTTAAAGAGTGTGGTTTGCTGATCTCTACTCTAAGCAATCTTTAAAAATAAATAAGGCTAGCAAGAGGGCTCGGTGGGTAAAAGGTACCTACCACCAAGCCTGATGACCCTAGTTCAACCCCCAGAACCTACATGGTGAAGAGCTCCCACAAGTTGCCCTCTGACTTCCACACATATGCCACGGCCCAGAAGGCTCACGCGCACACACAGCACACACATGCACACACAATAAAATGTTCTTAAAAAATTAATCTGTATAGCATGTGGACAGCTGCTTGAACTGTGACAATGATCGAAATATCATGTACCAAAAATGTTGCTTGTATAAAGTATAATTGGAGGGAAGATACTCATTTCCTGCAGTCCTTTACTCTATATGCAGTTGTCCTCATTTTGCCAATTTACATAAATAAATTTATTCTGGACGATTTAAATTATTTCTTATTTTTAAATTATAAAAGCAATGTATGCTATCATGAGTGGGAGAACGGGTATAAATAAGTTCTATTTGGGGCTTTGAACTAGACTTCAAATTTACAATTTATTTACATAAATACTATTTATAATGATCAAGAAATAAGGACTTAAAAACCTCACATGTACCAGACCACCACTACACACTGACCCAATACTCTCTGCCCATGACTGTCTTTTTTTCTTAGAGATAACCCACCTAATTTTTGAAGGCCCCTATTCTAGCTCACCTAGGATCAAATGAAGATTATTTTATCCTTTTATGCAAAGAAGTTATTTCTATTCAGACCAGGAGGAATTATAAATTTTTCTGAGCTTTAAGAAATATGCACACAGCCAGGCATGGTGGCGCATGCCTTTAATCCCAGCACTTGGGAGGCAGAGGCAGGCAGATCTCTGTGAGTTCCAAGACCAGCCTGGTCTACATAGTGAGTTTCAGGACCGCTGGAGCTACAGGGAGACCCTGTCTCAAAAAGACCAAAAGAAATATGCACATCTATCTGGGAGGCAGAAGCAGGTGGCTCTCTGTGAGTTCGAGGCCAGCCTGGTCTCCATAGCAAGTTCCAGGCCAGCTGGGGCTATAATATAGGAAGACCTTGCCTCAAAAAGACCAAAATAAATAAATAAATAAGCAAGCAAGCACATCTGGGTAGTAGAGGTGAGTAAAGGACTTTTCCTACAGAGAGCTAGACTGTCTGGATTCTTCACGCTGGCACGGAAAGCAAGATGGCTTCTTCAGTCTAACATTCATTTTTATGAGAATCTTGTACTAAGCACCTTTTCCTTACCTAGAATACAGAAGGCAGCAAACAAAGATCAACACCCCTAAAAAATTATCAAAATCCAGGACGTGTCCATTCTGTGATGGTGGAGCAGAGGTAGGAGCAAGAGTAGTTGAATTTGCAGGAGACACAGTCGGTGAAGCTAAGTGTGTAATGATGCTCACCAAGGAGGGGTTGCAGGAACGATCTGAAAGGGGAACATGTTTGTTACCAGTAGTTCAGCTCATCTCATTCCCAGGAGAGGACTTGCTTACACACCATTCAGCTGTGATGTGAAGCACAGGCACACTATACTTTTAAAAAGAACCTGAAACTTAGCAGCCAACTCTGTCAATGATCTAGTTTTAGGTAAAAAGAGACAGTTTCTCAAATTTCATGTCAATGGTGACTTCAGTGGTGTGGTGAAATCGACAAGAGAATGTTATAGAATGGTAAGGAGCTTCCCTCTAGTTTTCACACAGTTGCTTAATATTAAAGAAAAACATAATTACAACACCCACATACTTTAAAAAGAATACACAGAGCCAGGTGCTCGCCTTTAGTCCCATCATTCAGGAGGCAGAGGCAAGTGGATCTCTGTGGAACTAAGTCCTACATAGAGAGTTCCAGGCTAGCTGGGGCTACAAGGAGACCCTGTCTCACAAAAAAAAAAAAAAAAAAAAAATTAAAAGAGCTATTAAAAGGTAAGGTATTGCCTTCAGCTGTTTCTGCTAGAGCTTGTAAAACAACTCTAGTTTAAATTTTAAAAAGACAGAAAAAATAAACAACTCTAACAAAAGGCCAAGCAAACTAGCCCAGCATTCTTAACTGTGACTCAGTTCACGTAGATGAAGACTAGACTATGCAAAGGATGCAGCCCTTTTGGCTGCCGGCTATCAGTGTGAACAGACAGAATCTAATGCAAAAAGTGAATATTCACAAACCTGCCATGAACACTGATATTTACGAGTAGTTTTGTTTGTTTCACATTTGCTGTAACTTTTGTTTGTGTACACACAAAGGAGTACTTCATCAAATGAATTACTGATGCTCCCTTACCAGGTTCATTAGTCATGGCTGACCAAGTGAGGAACAGAGTGTAGAGAGTGATGATGGAGGACTGCAAGAGGCCAGAATGAGTCTGGTGTTCCTATGGAATCAAAAGAAAAACAATCCCAAAGGGATTACAAGAGATAACTTCTGAAAGTCTGTGTGCCTCCTCCCTCACATACACTGAACTGTTAATTGAGAACCTTCTTATTCTGCCTGAGGGTTAAAAGGAAACAAGCCCTTTGGTTAGAATTAGCTTACTAAAGAATTAAGGAAGGCAAGGCATCTATTGCTGCTTCTCAAGGCATTTCACAATCTTGAAAAGTCCTGCCTATCACACAAAGGCTTTCGTTTTCTAGTCCCGTTATATGAAGAGCTCTACCACAAAACAGCTAGGTAATCCACTACTTCTTTCACACTTCAGTTTTCTCATAGTTTTAAAAACATTTCTTTCCTTTCTTTCTCTCTCTCTCTCTCTCTCTCCCTCCCTCCCTCCCCCCTACCTTTCTTATTTTTATTTATGTATATGAGTATATTGCCTGCATATGTATAAGTGCACCCGTGTTGTGCCATGCCTGAGGAAGCCAGGAGTCAGATCTGGAACTGGAGTTATAGCCAGTTGTTAGCTACCATGTGGGTGCTGGGACTCGAACCTGGGTCCTCTGCAAGAGCAGTCCGTGCTCTTAAGCACTTAGCCATCTCTTCAGCCTGCCTTCCTTCTTTCCTTTCTTCCTTTTTCTTTCCTCTCTCTGTCTCCCCCCCTTTTTTCATTTTTGGATTTTTATTTTTTATACAGAGAGAGGCAATAATCAGCACATAATAAGATTAATAAGTTATAATTATGAAGACTTCATCATAATATGGAGAAATATTTAAGTAGGTAAACTTAGACATACATTACCAAAAGACTGTCTAGGGATTAAGCTTAGCATTAATTAAAATCCTTTCACAGGAGAGAGCAGAAAACAACCATACCTGAATTTTGGGGAGGATGGATAGCACAGAAACCACAATGCAAAGAATCAGGTTAATACTGATGAAGACCTTGTTTTCTGTGCAGCCATGTGGTTTGGTGTAAAATGTGTAGAGCAGCGCAGCAAAGATGATTGACAAAATATAAAAGAAGCTTGTAAAAGACAGCAAAGCTGAAAAAAGGAAACAGAATGAATGCCCACAATTCTAATCATCTAGAACAAAGACCAATTTTCTTCTACTCTATAAAAGTGAAGAAGCTGCCGGGCATGGTAGCGCACACCTTTAGTCCCAGCATTTGGCAGGCGGAGGCAGAGGCAGGCGGATCTTTATGAGTTCAAGGCCAGCCTGGTCTACATAGTGAGTTCCAGGACAGCTGGGGCTACAGGGAGACCCTGTCTCAAAAAGAAAAAAAGAAAAAAAGTGAAGAAGCTTAATTCACTTCTATGGTGGGCAATAATTTACAGTAAAATTTCGGAAGCCCCAAGATAAGGATTTTATAATTTTTTAAACCGATTCACTGTTAAACTCACTGCTTTGGCTCCTTAAAGCAGCTGAAAAGAGCGACTCATGAAATATACAGCACAATCCTACTTCACGCTGAAATACGGAGTCAAGACAAGTTGCATGATTCTGTGCTACAGTGATGAACTGTCTAACAACGCAAAAAGAAATCTCAGCGGTGATAAAGAAATATGAATGAGCATGCAAAAATACATTAGAATCTATTGAGTAACTACTATATCTAAAAAGGAAAATGAGTTGCAGATGTTGAGATAATTCCATGTTTTTGTTTTGTCTTTTGGGGCTTTTGAGGCAGTGTCTCTGTAGCACTAGACGGCCTGGATTTCATAAGAGATCCACCTGTCTCCTTTGCATGCCTGGGTGGCATAGCCACCAGCTTCCTGGTGCCAGCATCATTCCTGGGTAAGTCTCACGGCACCCACCACACCCTGAGTCCCCCAGCCCCATTTACCCTCCCAGCTCCCCCACCCTATCTCTCCTCCTAGCCAGGGCCATTTCTTGAGTTGGCACCCCAGACCCTTGGACTGACCTCTTGGCCCAGAATCCCCACTGCTTCCTGGTCCTTTGCATCGAGACCAACCCAATTCCTCCCTACAGTCCCCACGAACCCTCTGGGCCTGGTCCGTCCCCCCACCTCCTTTTGCATCCCTGGGCAGCACAGCCACTAGCTTCCTGGTGCCAACATCTTTCCTGGGTAAGTCCCATGGTGCCCACCATGCCTTGACTCACCCAGCCTCATTAACCCTCCCAGCTCCCCCACCACAACTCTCCTCCTAGCCTGGGTACTGGCCCATTTCTTGTCATAGCCAGACCCCTGGACTGACCTCTTGGCCCAGAATCCCCACTGCTTCCTGATCCTTTGCATCCAGACCAAACCAATTCCTCCCAGTAGTCCCCAGGAGCCCTCAGGGCTTCTTCCCACCCCCACCTCCCTTTGCATGCCTGGGTGGCACAGCCACCACCTTCCTGGGACCAGCTTTTTTCCTGGGCCCTGCTCCCAGGCCAGCCCAGGCCAGGCCAGCCCAGGCCAAATTCCTGAGACCAGCATATCTTTCCTGGAGGGAGCCGGATATTAGGAGAAAGCCTAAGAGCATCTGCTCCGCATCTGACTTGGGCCTCTGTGGGAACTCCTGAAGACAAAGCAATTTGGCCACTCCAATATAAAATCAAAAGAGAGAACTGGAAGCTTAGAGGAACCAGCTTTTCATGCCCAACAAGTAAACCACAAAGACACATAAAGTTCACAAAAAGAAGCAGACATAAACTTAACAAAGGAAGGCTGGAATCTCACACAAGAATCAGAAACTACAAAGAAATCTACATGTCAAAGTCACAGAGAAAAAATAGTAACATGAAAAACCAAAATAATGTATCCCCACCAAGTAACAACAGTCCTCTAAAGGAGTATAATGAGAACCCCCTAGAGATAATGGAACTCAAAAGAACAGTTATAAACACGATAAAAGAACTCAGTGAATTTAAAGACACACAAAGAAATCAAAGAACTGAAAGAAGATAGCGATAAACTTCCGAATGAATTCAGAAAAGAGTTAGAAATATTGAGGAATACTCAAGCTGAAATGAAAAAGGAAGTGAAACACTCAGTAAGCCCATTAGAAATGACAGGAGAAAGCCTCACCAAAAGGATGAATGAAATGGAAAACAAAATATCAAGATGAAGATAAAGTGGATGAATTAGACCACTCAAGCAAAGATTATGAAAATTTAAGAAAACACAAGAATGGATATGCAGGAATTGTGTGACACCATAAAAAGACCCAACTTACCAATCATAGGCATATAGAAGGGAGAAGAATCTCGGGATAATGGTATGGACCAGATCTTCAACAGGATTGTAGAAGAAAATTTTCCAAAATTAAGAAAGACATGCCCATACAAATACAAGAAGCATATAGAACACCAAATAGACAGGACCAGAAAAGAAACTCTCCATGGCATATCACAGTAAAAACAATAAAGGTACAGAACAAAGAAAGAATACTAAAAGCTGCAAAAGAAAAACAAGTCACATATGAAGGAAAACCCATCAGAATTACAGCTAACTTTTCAGTACAAACTATAAAAGGCAGAAGAGCCTGGACCAAAGTATTCCCAGTTCTAAATGACCATAGATGCCAACTCAGATTACTTTACCCAGCCAAAATGTCTAGTACAGTTGAAGGGGAAAGAAAAACTCTTCCACGACATAAATAGGCTGAAAGAATTCATGTCCACAAAACCAGCCCTTCAGAGAGTTCTTAAAGCAATACAAAGAGCCGAAGAAAGGAACAACCCAAGGGGTTACAGAAAGAAACTCAGTGAAGGTATAACTGTGGAAATGCACAGCTATACCAAGAATGTGAACAGAAATAAAAATGACAAGAATCAATACACATCTTTCATTAATAACTTTAAGTATCAATGGACTGAACTCCCGAGTCAAAAGACACAGACTAGTTGAATGGATTAAGAAACAAAACCCATCTTTTTGTTGTCTGCAAGACACTCATCTCACTTTCAAGGACAGGCACTACCTTAAGGTGAAAGGATGGAAAAAAATATACCAAGCAATTGGTACTAAGAAAAAAGCAGGCAGTGCAAGTCTAATATCTGATAAAACAGACTTTAAAACTAATCAGAAGAGATAAAGATGGCCACTTTATTCTGATCAAAGGAACACTAGAGCAAGAAGATATTACAATCATGAACATATATTCACCAAACTCTGGTACACCCAACTTCATAAAAACAGTACTACAGGACTTTTAAGACCCAGATTAATCCCAACTCATTAATAGTAGGGGACTTCAATACCCCATTGTCTCCATTACATAGGTCAATAGGAGAGAGAATTAACAGAGAGACATCTGAATTAAATCATACCATCCATCAAATGGGCCTAACAGACATCTACCAAATATGCCACCCAAGCACCAAAGAATATACTTTCTATTCAGCACCCCATGGAACTTTCTCCAAAACTGACCATATACTGGGGCACAAAACAAACCTCAACAAATACAAAAAAACTGAAATAATTCCATGCATTCTATCAGACCACAATGCAATAAAGCTTAAAATCAACGTGAGAAGAAACCCTAATAACTACATGAACACATGGAGATTAAGCAACGCACTCCTGAATGATGAATGGATCAAAGGAAAAATCAACAAAGAAATACAAATATTCCTGGAACTAAATGAAAAGGGCAATATAACACAACAAAACCTCTGGGACATTTTGAAAGCAGTCCTTAGAGGGACATTTATTGCTATAAGTGCCTACATTAAAAAATCAGAAAGAACACAAATGACTTAACGTTGCAACACAAGACACTTGAAAAGCAACAACAAATGAAACCTAAACCCAGCAGACAAGAAAAAAATAACAAAAATCAGAGCAGAAATTGATGAAATGGAAACAAAGAAAACAATACAAAGAATCAACTACTCCAAGAGTTGGTCCTTTGAAAAGATAAACAAGATTGACAGACCCCTGGACCAGTTAACCAAAAGAAAGAGCACCTCCAAATCAACAAAATCAGAGATGAAAGGGGAAACATCACAACAGACACCAAAAAGATCCAGAACATTGTAAGGGAATACTCTAAAAACCTATAGCTACTAAATTTGAAAACCTAAAAGAAATGGACGAGTATCTAAAAGCATAGGAACCACCAAAACTAAACCAAGAAGAGATGAACAGCTTTTAAACAGACCCATAACACATAAGGAAATTAAACAGTAATACAAAACCTCCCTACTGAAAAAAGCCCAGGACCAGATGGATTTACAGCAGAATTCTACCAGACATTTAAAGAAGATCTACATTCAATACTTCTGAATTTATTCAAAAGGATAGAAATGGAGGGAGAACTTCCAAATTCCTTCTACAAAGCCAGCATCACTCTAATACCAAAGCCAGGTAAAGATACAATCAAAAAAGAAAACTATAGACCCATACCCTTAATGAACATAGATGCAAAATTTCTCAACAAATTATTTGCAAACCACATACAGACACACATCAAAAAGATCTTCCACCATGATCAAGTCAGCTTTATTCCAGAAATGCAGGGATGGTTCAATATACCTAAGTCAATAAATGTCAAAAATCATATAAATGGACTCAAAGACAAGAACCACATGGTCATCTCAACAGATGCAGAGAAGGCTTTTGACAAAATTCAACATGAATTTATGTTCAAAGTCCTAGAGGGAATTGGACTGGAGGGAACATACCTCAACATAATTAAAGTCATATACAACAAACCCACATCCAACATCATTCTAAATGGAGAAAAACTGGAAGCATTCCCATTAAATCAGGAACCAGACAAGGCTGTCCACTATCTCTACTCCTTTTTAACCCGATGCTTGAAACTCTTGCAAGAGCAATCAAAAAGAGAAGGAAATTAAAGGAGTAATAATTGGAAGCGATCAAATTATTCCTTTTTGCAGACGATGTATCTAAGAGACACCAAAAATTCCACCCGAAAACTCCTAGAAATTATTAACACGTTCAGTAAAGTGGCAGGTTACAAAATTAACCTACGAAAGTCTGTAGCTTTACTATATACCAATAACAAGCCATCAGAGAAAGAGCACATGGAAACACTCCCCTTCACAATAGCTGCAAAAAAATAAT